TCTTGTGTTTTCTCCTTATTTATTGTTGTATTCTTCTTATTTATTGTTATTGTCATCCTGTAAAGCACTTTGAGAAGCCACCTTTAAAGGCACTATATAAAATACAGTTTATTATTATTATTAAAGTGATTTTCTCTTCAGAAAATAACAAGAACAGATGTAAATGACACTGAGGATTATCAACTTGTAATAATTTGAGACTTAATTATGAGATGCTAAAGTGTACTAGTGTACAAAACACCTGTCAGAACCCTAACAATTATATAGTGTTTTTCATACCAGTGGATCCCAAATTTACACACATAAAAATAACTATTTTATTCACATTTTAAATGCATTACAATGGGTGATGTGCAGCAGTCCTTTTGTGGCAGCAGTACACATGCAGAACTGAGAAATTGGTTTAAGGTGAATACAGCTTCCTTAAGCCGACGTCACACTACAGGGCTCAACACGACTTCTAGTCGGAGAGCATGTCAAATTTAACGACTGCTGTTGCTGAATCTTGCTGCCTTTTCTGTCCTAGAGGGTTCAAATCATATGACTAGGAATCACACAGGGTGACTAATTGCACGATTCCCTCCCGACTTTTCATCACAGTTCCAAATCTCGTATTGTGCCACGAAAGTACCGCGAGGTCACCTCATTTTGGCAGCCAATCAACATGGACCACACCAGAATAAGAGGAGGAGCACTGCACGAAAGTAAACAAACACGAAACATTGAACAGACATCTGTGTGGCTCCCAACTTCGACGAGCCTCTTGTCCATTTGCACAGTCCAAAACACTTGAGGTGTTTTTATAAATAAATATAAAATATGATGTTTTTAAGATGGAGGAAGAAAATATATTCCGGTGTTTCTAAAACAGTTTGTTACAGTGCATTGTGATAATTTGAACTTATTTTCTAAGGGGTCAGTTAAACATTACCTGGATTAATACAAACAAGCTTAGATTTAGATCTATATCTAAACAGCAAAATTGAAAAGTTTTTTAAATTTAGATTAATTAAATTCTTTATATGGATTGTGTGTTTCAAAAAATGTTATTAAAACATAATTTTCAACATTTACACCATAAAATCCATATATACAGTATACAGTATATTATGATCTGTGCTTCATTAAAAAGCAAAACAAACATGATATTTGACACAAGTTCTTCTTATATTGTAAGACATAGGATTGTTTATTTCTTTAATGCCTGTGTAAACCTTATATTTTTATAACTCCTGAATACATTTGATAATATATACATGATTTATTTTTAAATTTGATTTCTAGCTATTTGTTATACTGAAAACATATTACAGTATATTGTACCAGCCAAAACTGTCTACAAACGGTATGTGTGAATGTCCTTAGTTTGAGAATTATCCCTATTTTGTCTTTTTCAAGTTTTTCTGAACAACAAGAATACATATTAGGATATTATCACCCTCTTAGCTTGTGGAAAAGCAGAGCTTGCAAAATTATTCTAACAAGTCTGCTTTTGGGTAAATAAACTGTAGTATAAAAATTATTTAATACCTTTATTCAAAATCCTCTGATTCTGCTTATAGTGATATTGAATATTGTGGGATCTTTTCCATAATACTGTATATGGTAAGAAGCACAGGACTCTTTTTATGTGAGTGTGCTTCATACTGTAACAAGGCAGGACATTTGGTACACAGATATGCTGGTGCTCAGCAGATTGTATGGATGCTGACACTACGATATGGTTTGTGTTTCTTTAAGGAAATAAGGGATCAATATGGGTCAGTATGAAACCTAGGATTCCGGGAAAAGATGTCTTACTGAGTATTACTAGGGTACCTTCATTAGTGTTCATTATTGTTCTGATTGAACACCTGATGTGCATTAGGTTTTTTTAAGTTCCTTTTACAAGATAGAAACAGTTTAATGTTTAATGTAAAGTTTGATATCCGCTTGTTGTAGTGATACTACTGTATGTGTTTGAGTTAGGACAGTTGAGACTAAAAATGAAAATATAACTTTGTTTTATTTAATAAACAGGCTTCCACCGGAAAACTAAATGCCTGTCTTATGGAGAATTACAGAGGAAGTTATATGCTACTATTCTCACTCCTAGCTGACATCTGTCCATTAATTTGACATTATAAGTGTCTTGTCAAACTCATCCCGGGTTTGATTTCCCTTTTGCCTTATTGTGGTTGTCAAAATTGGTGTGATTCCTTACATGTGATGACCATAATGCACATCTTTTTGCTTCATTCAATCTGGTGTTTTTTTTAAGGACAACACAAACGTAGTGCAAATGCCTCATTCATGACAATCTTCAATAGATTCCACTGCATAAAGCTAATAGATGTATAAAATATTCTAAATACTGTCTTATTTATATATGAATGGAAAGTGAAGTCTAAATACATTTTAAACATATCTGTACCAACTCTGTTTTAGGAACAAGTAAAGAATTATTCCATGCTTTTTCCAAGCTTTTCACGCGAAGAAGGCTCCACAGCCGAAATGTTGTGTTTCTTTTCTTCTCTTTTCAGGATGCGATAAACCTTTACTTGTTCCTTTGCAGCCTATGCGTGCTGATGCAGCTAAATACTTCAACTCTGTTTAATATTGACTGAAAGTATTGAAGCCTAACGTGTCTGTTATCTAATTATAGACACTGATACACAAAAAAGCATGAGTATTTTGTTATCCCAAGGAACAATTCAAACATTCATCAAATATTCCTAATGTAAATAACATTACTTATACAATATGTCCATGGGGTACAGAATAAAATATAGACTATTGCCTTTTTATTGTGCATCAATACAGATTAAAACAGAGACTGAATGTTTTTCATCTCATTCTACTTTTTTAATTGAAATATATTGCCCAATAGAAGCACAGATCACAAACCCTGAAGTACAGTAAGCGCAAAATTTTCAAAACTGTATATAAATTTTTATGACATCCTGTCCTCTTCTGCAACCCTCGTTTAACATTTTTTGTTCTAAATTTAAAAAGGATTTGTAGGTTGTTGTGAAAACACAGATACAGACAGATGGATCACTTAAAATTACAAATGGTCTAATCTTGTTTTATTGTTCTGCAAATAGAAAACATGTAATCTAATTAATTACCTGCCCCCCAAAAGTTAAATGCAGTTGCCAGAACCAAGCCTTTCAAAAAGGGAAAAAAGGAACTTTACCTTTAGTGATGTTAATTATGCATTTTATTGTACTTTAGTTTTTTTATTAAGTTTTTTTATTAAATGCCTTACTGTCCATCCATCATTTCAGTAACAAAGAAAAAGACCTATATCTAGATACCAAAAAAAAAAACTAGATACCAATTATCAAGTTAAAATTCATATGATTGGTACTACTACTACATGGTACTACTTTACCATGATTATTCTAGATTTTAATGAACAAGTTTTCACAAAATCTGTTTGGCCTGTGGTACCCGCTTCAAAGTCGTATAATATAATAATTAGCTGAAAAGCAATGGCTTTACAATTGATAATTTTCAAAGCTTTCCTACGTCTTAACTTTTTTTTCCCAGACAGGAATTGTAAAAGTGTTAAAAAGTATAAATCCAATATAGACAACATAAGTGTTGAAACAAGAAAATACAAGAACAATGTTTTGTCTAAGCATAGCTTTGGAAAATTAGCTGGAGTGTATTTGAGGTAAAAGCTTTGAAATGTAACTATATACTATGTCAGATCACTTCTTCAACTGTTTGTGTATCTTAGCACAATGTAGCAAAGGACTGAGTATGTCTGTCTTTTTTACAACAAAAAGGATTTTTGGTGATTTTATGGGATCTCATGGCCTACCTACAGTATCTTTACATCTTTACTGTACAGTCAAAGTATTAATGTATACTGATATGCAATAACTTTTTAATTACTCTTATTTGTATGTTTTAAACCCCTTATTGTATTGTTTATCACCTGTGAAGGATATTCATTTTGGGAGAAAACGTATGCCTTTTCTTTTTAATAATAAACTAGTTTTCAAACACAAGTGATCTTACAAAGTAAGAATTGCTCTGCTTTAAAGAAAAGCATAATGGTGATCCCAAAAATTACACTGATAAACAGCATGTCTGCTTCATGCACAATAAGAGTTTATGCATGTTAAATTATTGTCCCAGTACAAAAATTCTAATTCTTAAATATTTTCATAGACTTTAATATATAAAATCTCTCTATATATAAAATATATATATTCCTTGTATGGATAAATAAAGACTAGCTCATAGCTCCAAATGCCATGTTTCTGTTATCTTTTCAGAAATCTCAGATAAAAGTGTAAGTGGAAAAAAGATTATCTCAGAAGATCCTTGCCATCCCTCTTTAAATTACCTACTTTGCATAATTAGTCATTTGCATTTTCCACAGGGATTGAATATTCCTATCAGAGCTAGAATTGGCAGTGATTTCAAACAGTTTGTTGAGCTGTTGAGTGAAATCGGCCCTGGTTCTGTGATATATACTTATTTCCTGCCCTGCAATGCTCTTAAACTGTTTTTTTGTACTGTATGGTATGGTACTGAATGGCTCTTTCTAATCAAGAAGTAACCAGTGCGTGACTTTTTTTCTTTCATAGTACTGCTTAATTACAGTAAGTCAATTGCAAATTTAAAATCAGTAGTTGAAATGGAAAACTCATATACAATGTACACTTCTGTTATTGCTGTTGTATGTTCGTATTCCACACAGCTTACAGTCCATAGCCCTTTCTGTCCCAATCTCTGTATAGTACTTGGAATTTAATAACAATCAAAGGGCCTTTTTTTATGGCAGGGCAATACAAAATGAATATTTCCCACCTTTGATCGAAGTCTCAGAATATGGAAATTGTTTTAAGGAGTGGAGTGTGTTTTTAAAATAAATGTAAAGGTACTAGGTGGAAAAAGAAACTGGCTTCTCTGGCCAATAAATAGGAAGCTCTAGGCTAGGTCATAACACTTGGAGCCTTGTGTGACACAGCTGATCCCTGCCATATTTGTCATTCCTGCAGATTTGTTACCACTGGATTTCCTCTCCAGGGTTCTGCCTGCTGGTGGAATGGCCCTCAGTGGGGTGAGAATGGTTCAAGACCAGGGAGCCCGGGGCCTTCAGTTTATGGCTCCTCACCAGGCCCTTAGTTTCCCTGCTTCCCAGCTCTTCATCAACTGTGACTACTTTCCGGAGGAGTTCTCCATTGTCACAACACTGAAAATATCAAGAATTGCCTCAAAGGTAATGTCCACAAAGACCCTTTGCTTTCCATTTCATAAGCTGGTTGCCATCCGGTATTTACACACAAATTTAATTTGGGACGATTTTTTACATTTCTTGTACATAATTCATCAAGTTGTGGATGATCTTTAAAGTTGTAATGGTAGTAAAACAAGCAAGATTTAGGTTTTAGTTGCTAGGCGGGCTTAAGGAAAGGTAATTTATATAAGTTTTAGATTGGAACACGGGTGCAGTAAATTAACACCATATCTATGTTTTGTGAATTTAATCATTTGTCTTTTTTCTTTTCTCGTTATTCTTTGATCCTTTACTCTGCTCTGATCTGTCCTTAGTACTCCTCCTCTATGAAACATAAGCCACAAGCTTTACTGAATCTGATGTATTTTGAATTTTAGAAACCAGAATGCCCTATCCATAAGAAAGAATAACTGAAATTCAGAGAAACTCAGATTTACAGCTTAATGACACAATATGAGATCATGGACAGAATTGGTTTTAAACATGTTTAGACTTTCCTTATATTGATTACATTAAGTAAGTATTGTTTCAAGCATCAAATACCAAGTAACTTTGTATTTAACCTTTCGTAATTCAAATTCTGTCCTTCTAAAAAATTGGCTGAAAATAGGTCCAAACATCTGAACAATTGAAGAAGCAATAAAGTCCTGGCCTCTGATTTGAAAGCTGTCAAAAAGAGGATGAGATAGAAGAAATTGTTGGCAAAGTAAGGGCAACCGAATATAGTAAAAATTATTTGCTGTCCAGGATTTGAAGGACATTTTATTTAACAGAAACATAAAAAAGCTAATTTTATTGTAGCCTATGAGAACTGCCTGAAAATTATAACCATAAAGAATGATCATTATTTTACCTATAGTTAATTTGGCACATTATCATTTTCCTGGTAATTCATACCATTATATAATTGAGCTTTACCAGAAACTGAATGTATTTTTTTCCTCATGGCTTGTAACAAATAAAGTTTTAATCAGATGATTTAGACATAATGAAAAGTAACTATTGGCTGTTTAGGGCTAAACAAAACCAATAGTTCATGTACCTCACTGTTAATGTTGAGCTTGAAGCAATTCATTTAGATATTTTGAGGTTTTACCTCAAAATGACTTTTTATGGTGCTATGCTCCTCATTCACTCCTTGGTTACTGTTGCATTTAAAAAAATAAAAATGTGAGAAATGCTGCATGTCTTTTGCCTTCTCAGAAAAATGAATACCTTTTCAGTGTAGTAGAGGAAGACTCCAACAGCCTGCTACTGGGACTTCGCTACTCTCAGGATAAGCTGCACTTTTTGTTCTCAAACTACAGAAAGAGGAAACGAATCTCCTTCAGATCAATGCGGCTGGCTGACAACCAGTGGCACACTCTCATTTTAGCAGTTTCTGGGTACTACGCATCTCTCACAGTGGACTGTGGCATGCCCATCGACTTGTAAGTTTACTTTTTTTTACAGTAGCCGAGTATCAGCCTAACAATGCCTGTTGAAAATGTCTCATGCTGTTAAGCCTAAGTCTGATAAATGTCTAAATTTTGGAAAGTCTGTGTAAATCTTCAATGATTGCTTAGGTTTCATTTTTAGTTAATGATGTGTTAGCCAGTGCTGCTATGACTAATAAGGTCAAATAAGGAAACATATTGTTACAAATGGGTGGTTACAAAACTGGTGAAAATCAGGGATTAGACGAGTGGTTTACTCAATTAATGAAATAATTATTCATAACTCCCAACGTGTACTGTAGGTGATTTTCAGCAATATACCTTTTGAGAGAGGTTTGTATAATTAGAGGCATGTGAATTCTTTGTTCGCTGGTACAACTTTGGTGAGAGGAGTAATAATCCAGGCACACTTGGTTAAACAAATATTTCTTACAATGACAAAACACAAACTTCATTACACACAACATACAACACACAAGTTACTTTATGTACAGTATTTACAAACAAGGCAGAGGCCTAACATTCTGATCACCCAGAAAGCCCCAGACTGCTACTAACAGAGGTCACATAAGAGATGAGCTGCATACATCCTTACTCCTTTGAAGTGTTTACCCTTCCAAGTGTCACAAATCTAAGATCTGAAATCTAAGAGACACTTCTCAGTCACCTAAAGCTGTAACAATATTACTATTTTCATATAACACAAGTGTATCTAAACAATTTTAGTTTTCAAATGCATCAAAAGTTTTATAAGGTGTATATGAACGCTCAGGTGTTTTGGTTTTTGATGAATCAGTTACTGATTTCTTTAAATGTCTTTTGTTTTAAATACAGGTTCTTTGACAAGCCATTCCCCTCATCTCTGAGCACAAAGGGCTCCAGGTTCTACATTGGCAATAGGAGACGATGGAAAGGATTATTTTCAGTAAGCTATCCTTGTTGAGATTTTGACTCTCATAATGGGTCAAGTTATTATACCCACTTCTTTGGGATAGTGGATGCTTCATATGTTATATTGACAAAATACACGTTGTTTTTAAAAAGAAAATATTTCAGCATAAATTTGATACTACAGGTGTCTTTCCTGCCAGCATATCCCCATGCATCACTGTTGTACAAAATGTCAAGAAAAGCCCCTCAGGGCACACTTGTTCTGGTCACACATTGTTTCTGGAATTGCCTGGCTCTGAGATACAAAGTAATGCATAACACAACTATGGGAAAGAATCGGGACTACACAGTACTAATATGGTGAAATTACTGTAAACCAAAAATTTACCTCAGACAGTTTACCATTGATTGCACATTGAATGGAAATAACCTTTATGTAACTAAAGTTTTACTTTAAAGAAGGCTTCACTAATGATATTGATCACTTTAAGAACAGAAAACATTATCTTGCTTTGGCAATGTACTGTAGGTGTATAACAAACAAGGAGCAGGAGCATTGTCAGAGCTCATGTGCTCTCCTGTTCCAGGGGTTGCTGCGACAGCTGGTTCTGTTGCCTGGATCTGATGCTACCTCAAGAATCTGCCCCTCCTTACATCCCCAGCTTGCCATCCTCTCTGTTCCCCAAGCCCTGCTCGACCTACCAGCCAAACCCTCCGGAAATGAAGTCTTGAAGTACCCGTATGGTGAGTAAACAGTTAGAAGAGCTTTGGGAAATGTTATAAATAGAACTGGCTGGAATATTGACCCAGTTCCAGTTTTTAAGTTGTTGAGGTCTCAATATAAATTAATTTCCACATTGTCCTTGGGGGATTCAAAGCATACAAAATACTGTCAATGCAATCTGTGTTGGAATGGCTAACTGTTTTGTCATTTAGAACCTCAGAAGAACATTTGTCTCTTGTGTTTCTTGTGTTTCCTGTATGGATGAATATAATTTGAACTTCATGAACTGCATGAATTTTTGCAGTCTGTGCATTTAATACAGTACTTTAAAACAAGTTCCATATGGTTACTAGGATGTTCTGAAATTGTATGTAGACACTGTTTTACAAGGTCATATCTTACAGTGCCATCCAATTAACTTTCATCCCAGAAATCAGTTTGTTGTTTATTAGTACCATCGCAATAAATCAAAATGTCGTACAGTTTTTTAAATGGATTCAATTAATATTCCTCATACTATAGTAGGACCGTTATCAAGAGCTTGTGTTTTCTGGGATGTTTTGTTTAACCTGTAAACATGACGTTGTGATGGTAAGAATATCTGAGTAATCTTATGCCTGCTTACTTTCTGACAATGATTGAGGGGAGTGAGTTTTGTGTGTTCCTCTCTCTAAGTTTGAGCTCATTTTGGTTTCAGGTTTAATACCGTCTGAGTGTTTTGTATTCAGTGCTGCTGCTGAAAGACGTGGTGGAACTTAGCCAACACTGAGATCATTTAATCTTTCTAAATTACAACATAGTTCCTCATTTCCTGTACCACTGAGACACAGGATGGGACAAACAAATTCCCATGAGAAGATTATGTTTTTAAAAGTGTGATTTCAATTAAGCCTTTCCACATAATACATGCATGTACGGTGTCTATATTATTATTAGATATTCTAAAACTGTATGAAACAGAACTAAAATTGACTTCTTCTTGTTTATAATACAAATAGAAGACTCAGATTTTAAGGTTTCTTAATAAATAAAATGACCAGAAAGAAAATGCACAAAGTTTTTTTTATCTATTTGTTAAAAGAATTACAGCATGGAAAACAACTGCTTCTGTGGTAGGAAAGCATTAGTCATGTATTTTTAGCATTCTGTGTGAATGCAGACTGATTCCTAAGCAACTGAAAGTTTAATAGGAAACATTCAAGCAGAAAATTAATAATCAAAATTCAAAGTAAGAAAATAATTTTAAACCAATAGAAAAGGCCCAGTATCAGTTGACTACAATCACATACAAGAATCAATTTGACGAAAAGATAATTCATACTTTCTATAGAACGTATATATTTTTGTACAAGGGTGTGCTTTATTTTCTCTTTGTATTCGACACATTTTTTTTCTGAGTGAAAAAAAACATTAGATAAGGACACTTTTTTAGGCAAGTCTATTTATCTACTGAGACGCTGCAATCTGTCATTAAAGATTAACCTCTTTAGGTACCTTAGAAATAACATTATTCACTGTGTTTTATTGTGGTTTTGCACTTCTCAGTTATTTGGAAAAACAGGTTCTCTGATATGTTATTTCTTGCAGAATTCTAATTTGGTGATTTAACATCAACAGCTGCTGCAGACAAGGTGTAAATCAGAAACTGGGCCAGAATGTGCCTCTAAATAAACTTGTTAAAATACTTTATTTTTAAGATGCTGCAGCAAATAATAGAATGTGATTTCAATGTCTTGCTTAATTTTATTATTTTATCTAACAGAGCCTAGTTGTTTGTTTCATCACGTTTTCAGCTAGGCTGTTCAGAAATAAAAATCTTGGTACTGAAAGGCACTGAGAGTGGATGAAATGATTAATAACAGTAAGAAAAGCAACTGGATTACTGTCAGGTTAGAGTATGTGAAAAATCCCAGTTCACTCTGTATGTTTTTATATAAGTAATTGTTTTATAAACATATAAACATCCTGGTAGAAAACAAATATTACAAGGAAAAAACTGTATTAAAATCCATGCCTCACGGACAGGTTAGAGATTAAAGGTAGAAGATGAAACTGCAATGTATCTCCTCAGGCAGACAGACAATGACAGAAATACTATTCCTTGTGTTAATTGAAAAAAAAGATACTGATCTGGTAATTTAAAGCATTATGAAACTATTCAGGTACATGAATTCCAGGACTATAATATTTTGCTTACCAACTAATTTATGCTAGCAAAAATAACAAAATAATCTGTTGCCATCAAACTGTTATTTATTTCTGCTAATTATAGAGGACAATGATAAGCAGTGCATCAACCTGTCCTAGAGCTCCTAAAGGTTGTGCTTAGTTTGGATAACTGATACTACCAGTTCTAGAGTGAATTCTGACATTAGATTCGTGGGAAGAAAGCCTAGTGCTTTAGATTGTTACATTTGGCACAGTGGACAAATGTGTGATTCAGTGCCACCAAAATTCATGCTAAATGAGGCTGAAGCAAAAACATAACAGAATAGATTTTTTTTTTCAGAAATGAAAATCTTACAGTTATAGCATGATACAAATAAAATAAAATCTCTTGTTGAACATACAAACGTATTTTCAAATGCATGGAAAGTTGCACACCAATCTTACCAGCAGTTATGCTAATACAAATATAATGTCATTCTCCCACCATGGTGGAATCAGAAGCTGAATTGCGAGTAACTGTGGGGTCTCGTCCTCCCTGCACAAAGATGGAAATGGGCCAGCTGTGGTTTGACACTCTGAAGAGAGGACTCTACACGTGTGACAGCCGGGACTGGATCGCCATGTTTCAAGGTTTGGAAGAACGTCTTCATTATTAATTCCACAAACATAATCTATTCTGTTTACCTCCAGACAAAAATCACAGTCTCGAGCAGACACGTTGGTGAACCATAGAAAACGTAATACATCACCTCAATTTGAGGTCACGGATGAATTTGACAATTTTCACAATTTCACCTGGAGTGTAAAGAGTATGAGGAAGTCAGTTGTTTTCCTTTTCTAAGATACTGTAGGTCATAACAGCTCTTGCCAAATTATCTTTTTTTTTACACAGAAAAAGAGAGATTGGACTATGTGGAGGATTATCAGGATCTATACACCAATTCTGAAACCCTTGATATCGAGGTGTTTGAAATCCCATCTGTAGGACTGTTTGTAGCAACAGCCAATCGGAAGCACTATCCAGGTTCTGGGATCTATAAATGGACTAATGGCAAGTTTGAACCCTACCAATACATTACAACATATGAAGCACAAGCCTGGAAACATTTTACTGTTGATGACAAGGTAAGCCTTCTACTTCAGTGAAATTTTATAAATGTGATTTAAAGTGATTTAAAGGATTTTTCCTTGTGCTTCCCTTGTTGGCTGCATGTATCATGACTATTGTGCATGATTTGTGTCCTGCTTAGTGTGCTACCTTCTGTGGTGCTCAGGCATCTTCTTCAGTAAGTCTTCTTTTGGATGGGGAAGCTAATTATTCCTTATCCTCAAAGGGTCAACAATTTGTGCCTGGAAATATATTTTTAATCCCCTTGTTGATATAAAACAAATAATTAGGAAACACAGATGCAGTTTTGTTTGTAATAGGAAATATAAAATTGCACAAAACCAAAACAATAAATAGAAATATTGCCACATTTTTCCAAATGAACATCACCTCTACGTGTAAAGGTCCACAAATCTATTATTGACTTAGTTTTGATTCAGACTTTGAAGAAACAAATAACTTGTATTCTTATATAACTAGCATTATTCACTTACAGTAAATAATGAAATGCAATACAACATTTTTTGAGTGTTCTTACTTTGTTGTAACCCAACACCACTTTCCAACCATGTGTTCAGTATAACTACTCATAATTACCAAGGAAATAAAAAAAATAATGGTGAAAATATCTATTGGTCATATCTTGTGGATTCAAATCTGTATAGCTCTGATTTTCTTTTTTAATTTGGAAATTGAGATTTTTTTATAAAAACATTTTCCCCTACAATAAATGTGGCAAAGAACTTCAAAATGAAAAGGGACATGTCCAAAAAGAATGCAATTAAAACAAAATACAAGGTTTTAAATAATAATCCTTAATTTTATAATAATTACAGTTTGACTACACCTGTTTTTCATTTTAGCACCTAATATAACTACTATTTAAAAAGCAGAGAAGGTGCATAGGTAAAAAAAGCTTGACAAAATAGTCTAATGCCAGTAACATTACAAGCAGATCATGGTTTCAACTCTTCTCAAGTCCTGCAGCGATGGGGGTGAGGTGGAGCGAACGGTAGAGGTTACTACTGGTAGTCGTAGTCCCAAACCTGCATGTAGGTTCTCCATTGACCTAGGGCAGCAGTGAAGTCCGGCAGCATCCCAGGCAACTGAGTAGTCCTATTTAGGACCAGCACTGCTCACCTTAGTAAGGGAGTGTACAAGAAAAGGTGTCCAATACATTGCTTGCCCTAACAATTAACTGGCCAGCTGGCCGCAGCTGGCAGTTAACCCCTTCTGTGGTCGAAAACAAAGAAAAATGAAACTTCTCGATGTGTGGAATGTACGCACCCTTCTGGACAGAGACGATGCTGTCAGGCCTGAGAGAAGGACCGCATTCATTGCCTGAGAACTGGCGTGGTACAGAATCGACATTGCTGCCCTCAGTGAGACACGATTTGCCTGGAAAGGATCCATCTGTGAACCGAGAGAAGGCTATAGATTCTTCTGGAAAGGCAAAGCTGAGAACGAGGAGAGCATTCATGGAGCACTCATCCCTATCTCCCTATCGGTGTTAACGAATGCCTTATGATACTTTGCTTCCCTCTCTCCTGGTCGAGACATCTGACCATTATTAGTGCCTACGCTCCTACACTAACCAGTTGTGATGATCAAAAGGAGCTTTTCTACGAAAGCCTAGATGCACTAGTAAAGTCCACTCCTGCAAATGACAAGCTCACCCTACTATACAATTTTAATGCCAGAGTGGGGAGCAACTGCAAAGGTTGGAAGGTGTGCTAGGCTCTCAAGAACTCGGGAAGATGAACAGTAATGGGCTCCTCCTGCTGACCATGTGTGCTGAAAATACCCTGGCTATCACCAATATACTCTTCAGATTCGCTAACAAGTATAAGACCACTGGGATGCACCCCAGGTCCACCTTATTGGCACCTTATTGATTATGTCATCGTCAGCAGTTGAGACATTCATGACGTGAAAATCACCAGAGCCATGAGAGGAGCCGAGTATTGGACAGATCACAGACTGGTCAGGTCTGTCCTCAATCTTCACATAGCCCCAGTGCACTGCAGGAAACCAAAGCTCATCCAGACCAAGTTCAACACCGGGAAGCTGAACAACCCACTCACGAGGGAGAAGTACCAGTCACACCTTGTTGATGCACTAATTGATCATGGACCATTGGCTGGAGACCCAGCTGAAAAATGGAATCAGTTAAAACAGCTGGTATCAGAGTCTGCAGAGACTGTCCTTGGACACAAACAGCGGGTTCAACAGGACTGGTTTGACGAAAACAATAAAGAGATCAGCAAGCTTCTGGCTGAGAAGCACAACCCCTTTATAGAATGGCAGAACGACGTTACCTGTGCTTCTAAAAGAGACCACTTTAAATACCTCAGGAACAAAGCTCAGAAAGATCTACGTAAAATGTGAGACAGCTGGTGGGAGTTCTTCAGTTCACTGAAAAATATCTACGGACCCCAAAGCCCAGCATTACTCCGCTGTTTACCTCTGATGGCACCACTTTGCTAAAAGAGAAAGGAAGAATCATCATGTCCTGGAGGGAGCACTTCTCACGCCTCCTGAATGTGTCCTCCACTGTTGACTACGCAGTCC